AGTTTGTTTCCTATGTCAAAATGGCGGATTCCAATGTTTACATTTTTCCATCGATTTGAGAGCTGACACAAATTCGTATCCAATCATTAATTTGCATATTATGTACTGTGTAGGGTAGCTTATCCAATGGGATTTACTGTTATAAAGTGGCTATACGTTACCAGCCATCGTTACAACAGTGCCATGTGTTTTGTGTGTATAGCTCAGGAATGATGTGTATTCAATATTTACGGTAAATAATCAATGTTATGTTCATTATATTTCCATGCATACACAAGTCATAACAGCAAATGCATTTTTTATAGAACTTACTAGGTAAACAGACATGTTTAACTGTCTGCTTTAGCAAACATTCGTGTAAATAAACCCGATGGGTCGTTTTGAATTTTCAAGCACAGCAGACAAACACGTGGTAGATTATTGATGTTTGTTTACCTAAATTGCACGCTGTTATCGTGTTATTATTGTTTAACAGCAGATAAAATTAATTTTACAATTGCATTTAACTACTTTCAAGAGTTATATAATACACCTTGCCTAAGAAATAGGTCTAGCTAGGTCCATGGACCTCCTTTACTAGGTCCTTAAAAAAAGAGGCTGTAATAATGTACATGATGTAAATTACCATATTTGCATTCCAGCATTTTTTTGCATTTGATATATTTCATATACATGTACATGTATGTACATAGAGAACAATAGAGTAAATGAACATACATGGGTTTAATTCCCACCCTAGGTATTAATTTTAATACTCATTAGAGGTTGGAGCAAATAGGGCAGATTGCAATCGATCATAATGTAGTGTCTAAAAATGCTGATTGATGTGGCCAAGTCCTCAACAACCTTTTTTCTAAGTATACAGCAGCTCCTTTAAGGATTAGTAAGGGAACACTTTACATATAGTCCAGTGGCTAAGTCCTGTCTTTTTTGTCTCTATTATTTCCTTATTTATATTATTATATTTCTTATATTCTCTTGTACATGTAGTAAGCTAAAAAGCTATCATTACTCTTTTTCCTCATCTGCCTGATAACAATGAAATGTATTCATTGTTGATGTCTGTAAAGTGACTTATAATTTAACTGCTAACAGACATTTGGACTCTGGTGGATAGTTTCTATACTGTTATCTCATTGGCAATCATACCACATCTCTTTATTTTAGTACAGGTTAAGTATTCAAAGTAAGTGACTAACAAACATTAAATCATTTGAAAGAAAAATTCTGCAATGATTTCAGTTTACATATATCAACAATAAGATTTGGTTGTGTAAATTGTGTCATTATGTTTATAATGACCACTGTAATTGTGAACTGCCATGACTGTCTTGTACAAAAAATATTTGAATAAGTTCCCTAATGAATAGTATATAGATGTTTAAAAAAACAAATGTATGTACTAGTTCCACATCTATCAATTCAAAAATAATTGATGTTTTTTTTAATTAATTGAATAATAACAACTTATTGCAATACTCATGATGATCATGATATTAAAATACAAACTAGCATTCTTATATGTGATACATATATAACTTAATGCAGCTTATTCTGAAATTGTAAGGTATGTCATAAAAAAGAGATTTTTTGTAAAAGTTACCAAAATTGTCTGTATTTCAACCACATTTAGGCCTAAGAACCTTAAATTTTTAAGTGTAGAGGTTGACAAGTCATGACTGTAAATTCAGATATTATCATGAGGTTTTTATTAAAGTAAATAATGCGATTAAATTGATTATCTCAATAAAAAGAACTCTCATTCTGATTTGATACTATGAGATTTTTTCTGATATCAGAAAAATAAATATCTCATTGTTGTCCATTCTTCAAAAAATTTCTGAACATACTGTACATGTATTTAAGTCAGCTTTGTTTTTGTCTGAGACTACTATAACATGGGAAGTGACCAATCTCTATGTTAATTGTTATAGTAGTCTCAGGTTTTTGTTTTGTAGTTCAATTGACTATGCATTTTAGAGCAGTTAAATATGAATTTGGATTAAATTTGAAGTTGATTCAGTATATTTTATGACATAATAACACTCTTTTATTTAAACAAAGCATTTTCAGACTTTATTTACAGACCAGCTTAGCTAATCATTCATTATTCAATCAATAATTTAATTAAAAGACTCAACAGTTGTTTGTAGGACTTATGAATTCAAATATAAGGGAAAAAAATCAAAACTTGAAGTAATACATGCAATAGGAATTATGAGAACTGCATGATATCAGATTGCAATACAGCTTTTTGTTCAGTTTTCTTTGTGTTGATTATAATGTTTTAAATCCCTTTCTGGCTTTTTGGATGTTCAGATTTTTTCTCTTGATTAAGAGCGAGCAACGGAACTTGTACATCTTATATAGTTTCTTATCTCGGGGGTGGATCAAGCAAATTTTCAAAGAGGAGGGGGGCATGTATTATCTACATTTTCTTTTTTTCCATATTGTATTTTAATGTAATGCAAAGTTAAATTCTATTGTAACACAAGTTCTGCTGACAAATGGCTGATAAACCCCTCTTGTATGTAATTATTTGGCATGAAATGAAATATGTTTTTTCTGTATATGGAAATTAGGAATAATCCACCCTCTCTTTATAAAAGACCTGGATCTGCTTAAAAGTTCTTGCTTTTCTCAGAATTTTCCATTGTTACATCAGGAATAAAGGCTACCAATAATCATGCTTGACAATCATTGAGGTCACACATAAAGAACCCATCTCTTTGCAGATCATAGTAGAAAAACAAAGATACAATGTAGTTGGTAACATAAATGTATTTAAAAATATCAAGAGAAACATTCCCATACAGAATCTCTGTCAATAAGTTATTTTTCCACTCTTAACAGTGAAATCTTAAATATGTAAATTGATCGGCAAGCCTCACATCTTGAAAAATAAAATGTCTGTAGGAAAGAACTATTGTTTCACAATTGATGCTGTGTTAGAATTTATAATATCACTCTTTTTTCTCCATATGATCAGCATAAAAAGTGACAAGTTCTTCAGTCTAAATAACTTTGTTAAATCTCATTTCTGATGGAACATTTTCAGTGCACCAGATTAACAACTTTCTATGTTAGATACTTATTTAAATATAAAAATTCAAGTCTAATTTTAGAGTGAAATTTTAATATATTTAAACAAACTGTTCTAAACAACCAACATGTACAAACGCTGAGTTTATTTTCATATCCTTTCTAAGAATATTGATACAAAGAAAGTAAAACAAAGACTTGTATCATTCCATCTACCAAAAGGGTGTTTGAGAATATACAAATAAGTCCAAGTTTCAGAGAAAAGTCAGTTATCTATAATTTTCTTCTTTGGAAGTTTTCAAAAACCTGTTTTAGGGTACTTGAAAAAATGCCATATTCAAACATTCCATGACTATTTTAATGTTACAAGAGTAGAGGAACATAAAATATTGAATGGTTATTCAAGAAAGTGTCGAAATATAACTACAATCATTAATTTTACTCGAATTTACTGTTGTGAACTTGCAGTTTCCTACGACGCGTGTACGGAGTTATCTCCCGTTGATCTCCGCTTCGCCACGAATAAGCTGACACAATTGCGTATCCGGGGAATTTATGATCTATAATTAATATATAAGATGCAGAAAATGGTTTTACTTCATATTTTATACCCCTCCATACGTTACCAAACCCATTTAAGAAATGATTTGGGATTTTCCGTTGACCTACGCAAATTTTCCAAAAAAAATTTCAACTTCCATCGTTGTTTTAGAATACTTTTATAACACCTTTCATAAATAAGTATACATAATAATGAAACTTATTCACTCAAGATTTGGACCCTACAAGTTTTATTTATGTACGAGTTACAATTAGACGATACGAGGTAAAAAACCAAGAGGTGTACGCGTTCACAAGAAAACGGTAAACTCTGACCTTTTATCACGTGACCAATGTCTTGAACTTAGACGCCATTAAAGCGTTTGCCGTAAACTATGTAATAAAAATATGAAAAAAAAAGTAGGGGTTTGCGGGCAAAATTTTTTAATGGCACTGCATGGATAAAACCAGAGGATCCGAATATCTGGTAAAAATGTTATTCATCCGCAATAAATTTGGAAGGAGTATGAAAATAATTTGCAAGTTATACACTATATCCACACTAGAGACCTAATAGAGTAGAAATACTAATTTTAATCAAACTTGGCATGAACTAAGATTAGAGAATTATAAGACAGTTTACCTAGTTTCATGGCAATAGCATATATACATTAAAGACTATAAGTTTGAACTTTGGGTGTTAATTTTTTGCCGTTTAAAGTTTAACGTTTAACTATCAAAATTTGGGCCTACATAATTTAAATATTGCAAAAAATTGCTTTTTAAATGTCTTTATAACTATTTATATATAATTGTGTATGTCACATGTATGTACATAATGTATTTTAATGTAAAGCAGCTCAATACTCATTTGCTGTCTCAGATTTATTTCAATTCTTCAAAAGTCGAATTTATATGAGCCTATGCCTAAAATTAGAGATTTCAAAATTAAGGGGGGGGGGGGGGGGGGGGGGGGGAAGCAGCTAATATAAAAATTCTTCATGTATATTTAAAAAATTATTTGAATTTCAAAAGGAAAGAAAGTTACTTATCTGCTTATAGCATACCACATGAGTAGAACAAGGTCCCATTAGGCCATGGAAGACTGAATAACATTTAAGGTCAATATATAGGCAGTAACACGTTTTTACATGTATATGAAAAGGCATACACATAAGCTAGAGGAAATAAAAAAGTGGGTTTTTTTTGGTAATTTGTAGGCTAAGGTGACATCATACAAGAAGTATGAGTGATTCTCAAACTAAAATAAAATAATTTCATCCCCCTACTTCATTGTACTTACTTTTTATGCATAAAAAATATAAATAAATAAATTTTAAAGTAAACATGGTCCACACTAGGAAATCTTTTTGTAAAAAATGAAAATCAATGGATGATAACTGTGTACTTGGACTAACAATTAAGATTTCACATGCTGAAATGTCTCGTCAGTCCAATCTCAATCAGTGAAATAAACTATTGTTGGTTTTTTTTTTAAAGTCATATGGAAGTAGTCCAAATAATTATGACGCATTGCAAGGCTTTTTTTTCTCTCTCTGACGCCGTAGGAAGGAGAAGTGAGTTGACATAACATGTATGTTATCATGCAAAATCAACAGTAATGAGTATACCTTTGAGATTGAAATAAACAATTAATTTCCCCATAGGCGACAATGATAGCCTTTTTCGAGATACAGACTTCAGAAAGTTGATTTTTTTAACAAAACCTTGCTAGAATTAAAGAAAAGTTATTAGGACAGTATTTTTTGGTCCAAAAAATATAGGTTCGCGTTGCTTTTCTTAGCGTAATTTGTACTTATCTCCCATGCCTATCAATTTTGCACTTAAAAATACGTGTCTCATCCTAGCGTTTAAAAGACATCTCAGTTCCGTTAGGGCTAAGAAAAATAATTTATTTGGCCTTTGGTATAATGCAGAATGCACGAAGTCTCTAATAACAAAAAATAACGGGCGCACATATCAACCAATCAGGATTAGCTATACTCTTAATTCTGAATACCATGTTGCGCCCATAAAATCTAACGGTGTATTGTAACCTTGATTGTCATCGTCACTGCAAATGGATCATTATTACTAGGGGGAATGGAACCAATAAATTGATCGGATCCGATATGAAGTTCCCAGTAACGGAGAACCTCTAACTTTGAGGTAATATTATTAGTGTCGGTGGTCTCACAAATGAATCAGGGTGAATTGCAGGTACATTAATTAGCAGAGAATAGACAATTATCAACTTGTTATTCATTATCTCGCAGTTATTTACGGTTAATTAGCTGTATATATCCCAAAACAGGTGCTCGGAGCTAGTACTAGTCTATGACTTTTAAGTAACAATTATATTTATATTCACAATCAGTGGCGGATCGAAGGGGGATGGGATCCGGGGGTTTGATTCCCCTTTTTGTGAACGATCATTGCATTTAATCAGAGACATATCTGTCTCTATATGTCTCTGATTTAATGGAGACATATATTTCAGTGGCGGATCCAGAACTTTTTGGAAGGGGGCGGGGGGGGGGGGGGGGCGCTGACTGATCTAAGGGGGGCCCGCTCCAGTCATGCTTCAGTGATTCACTATATAATCAACCAAATGTTTCCCACCAAAGGGGGCCCCCCTGGATCTGCCTATGTATTAAGACCCCCTTTATCCTGGCTAGAATCGCCCCTGATATTACATGTAAATCAAGTCCCGGGTTAATAACTGTTAGCATAATAGCATAACGGTAATCACAAAAAGTGTGGTAATTTTAAAAAGGACGAGGATTTATAAATATACAATTCTTGAAGAGGGGGAGAGTGCACTTCACGATGATCGAAAAAAAAGTGCCTTGCATGTTATTCTCATCATCTTGTCTGAAACAGTCTGAATAATGAGCTTCAAGGCGAAGCGCGAAAATAAGTCATGTGAAATACTTACGTGGTACGGACAAACCCTTAAATCCCCTATGGATTGACAATGTTATGTCAAATGAATTATAGCGAGGAAAAGTAAATTTAATTTAATATCAAAACTAAATATTTGTTATATTTCGCTCATGATTTCTCAAGAAATCATAGAATCAATCAATTTATAAATTTCAATTATGTCTGTGTGAGATCCATTTCATGAGATTAAGGATTTCTATAAAATCCTTGATGGGACCCTTTATATATATATGTCTCTGATACAGTTTTCTATTTTCCCCGGAAAAAATTAAAAAAATATATAATCTTTTGGGAAATAATCCGATTTTGTTGAATTATTTCCTTTCATAATTATGAAAAATCCTTTTAGTTCTTCAATTTTAAATTAAAATAAATATTTCATTTTGATCTAACGACAAACTTTTTAAATTGTAGTGGCATGGTCAGTCAACTGATTAGTTGCATGGCTGATTACCAGTTTACTGGTGACCCAGTAATTTTCCATATGACAGTGGCGTGTACCCTTGGGGTGTGTATAACTTATTTTGAATACCTTAATTTTCTGGGGAACATCCTGTCCACGTGTAATACTTAGTATATATTGCAACAGATGACATTAAACAAATTTTCTTTGTAGCATCGGTGTCCATTTCATGTTCAACCACTCAAAATTTTCACAAAAAAGATAATATAATAAAATCATTAAAAAAAAGATTAAAAAAACACTAGCAAATAAACTTCGCAATGAGTAAACGGGGATTTGTGTTTTAAAGGGCTTATTTCCAGTGAATATATTTTATACTAGATAACTAGACCTGAGATAACTTTTTTTTTTGTAATATATATTTTATTATTTTCATATCATTCTCAAATCTCGATCATCTTAAATAAAGATGTATAAAAAATAATTTTGTTATAACTAATAAATATATGGTTAATCATAATTGTTACAAATTATAAAATGGTAAGTCAATGCCCGATGTGCCGCCGTCTGTTGCAAAACAACGATTTAATCTTTTAAATGAAAGACGTGCACTGACGTTACGCACGATATTGCGTCTAAATTGGTAACGTCTTAATTTGAGGTTTTACACCGATAATCGAGGATATTTTTTTGTTGGCAATTTTTTTCTGCAAATCAATATGGATACTTCTAAATGTTTGGTTGTACTGAATATGCATAAAATATTTCCCACTGGAAGTAACGCAAGTAACAAACAACACAATACATGTATTTGGGTAAGATAATAGGGTCTATATATAAAAAAAAGAAAGATGTTGTATGAGTGCCAATGAAACAACTCTATACAGAAGACCAAATGACGTAGAACGTATTTAGCATGCGATGTTTCCCCATTTAAATCCGAGAAGAAGGGGAGGAAGATATCCATTTTGCTTTAATAAATTAAAAAAAGTGTGTGTGTGTGAGCGGGGGTTACAAGTTAAACGGGTCTTTCTTATAAAGTACTCTATTATAATTTGTATCAAAATGGTCATCATTTTCTTTCGGAATTCGAGTTCCTGACATTTTGAATCATTTGTACCTTATTAAAATTTCCTATAAATTGCGTTTTGTCGCAATCGTATATTTCTCCATTAAATCAGTTATCACAATTATAACACAAGAAGTATCGGATAAGAAGATTTTTAATAATATGTTTGGATATTATTTGGTGTATTTTGTGAGTCTGTTCCACGGGTTTACAATTTATATTACAACCAAGGTTCTCCGACTTCCTCTACCATATAAAACTGTCCGTTATGATACAACCAATGACGCTAAAAGTTGCGTTAAACACCAAAACACAAAACAAACAAACATTTCGACTAGATTTTAAAAGACATAAATAGCGTCCCGAATTGACAACGTTGAAAACATAAGAAAATCGTTCAGTGGACAAACTTGCAAGACATTGGATTTCTTTAAAAACGAAGTCGTTTTAACTACGCAATTATCAAAAAGTATGTAACTGTTTTGTAGGGTTAAAGTACAATTACGGAAAAGCACTATTTTGTATTCTACCAATCGAAATTTTATTTAAATGACATCGCAACTGACAGTTTATTCGTTAAAAGCGGCGTAATTCGACATTGGACATTCGTGCAAGACATTTGCCAGAAGCGGTTGCATTTTTATTTGTGGTGTGAGTGCTGTAAAAATTCGGTTTTGAAATGCTTTATCTATGTACTTTTGTGAGCATGTTTTATGAAAACGAAATTCCATACAATCTTATATTTCAAAAACCTATAAATTTTGACAACTTACCATTTTCCGAAATCAGACCGTAAGGAAGACTACTTATGTTTGCAAAATATCAGCTTTTGCCGTTGCATCAACGAAAATTCAGTAATGACGCAATACTTTATATAAGACGCATATCATTCATGCAAATTTTCGCGGATTTTACACTGTTTTGAAGTGCACAAACACCCCTATAAAACTTATTAAGCGTATAGTCTGATACGTCTGACATGCAAATTTTTGACGTTTTGCCAAAATTTTTGTCCTTATTTTAGACTATTGTAAAATATTATAAAACAATTTGTTGATTTTTTGGGAACAGTAATACCTGCCTATTCTATGAATATAAATTGTATATAGCTTAACTGTTCTGATTTCATAGAAAAGCTGTTTATCAGTGTGGACTGGTTGATTTCACGGTATTGACGCAATAACGTGCGTAACGTCACTGCCTTCATCGGAATAGAGGAAAGTCCACCTAGTGTACATTAAAGAGTATCCGTTTGTTATGCTGAAAAAAAAGAGATCATCATAAACTTTTTAGCAGACCTTCTCGTGTAAAAAAAAACAAACTTTTAACTGAATTAAACAAAAAATTATCAAACAAAACTCATTAGAAAACTCATAGTAACATTTTGTTTATACCTGAGATAACTTATAGTAAGATTATTTATATAGAACAATAAAAAAAAATGTCCAATCTGATACACGTACCTATAATCTGGGACTATTATGCTGACTATTTTTTTAGTATAATAGTCCCAGCTATAATGTACAAAATTTTGAACAGCTTCAAATATATGGCCTTATCATTGGTAATATATCATATTTGTATCAGTTATTGCTGAACGTGTAACCAAATTAAAATGAAGAAATAGACTCGAAGCCGCATTTTTTAAAGATATTTTTTTCAATCCCAAAATAGATAATAGATATGCAGATTAATTAAGGTCCCGATGAGAAGATTCACTTTCTTTTCTACCGAAGTAAATATATTAACAAAGATTTAGGATATCAATAAATTATTAAATTCATCAATTTATTAAATTTGAACATGTGAACCAAACAACGAAAAAAAATAAACGGGAAATTGGCTATACCTTTTTGGTATTAGCCATGAAGCCATGTATGTACCAGCCATTTTAACTTATTGTTTTCTTAACCTTTAAAGAATACATTTTAAAATGAACTACTTTATTTATAGTAGTTCAAGAAAAATATATATATATTAATAAGTTTTAAATTTTGTTCATGCTGTGCATAAAATAGGAAAAAAAAAATAAGGCTGAAAATGCACCAAATATTTATATTCAATATGAATATTCACATTTTGTCTATTACAACAATTTTTGAACAACTTGTTGTTGTAATAGACAAAATGTGAATATTCATATTGATTATAAATATTTGGTGCATTTTCAGTCTTATTTTTTTTCCTATATATATTATATGGCCTTCCAAATACCGTT